GTCGGTCAATGAGTTCTTCTTCAACATCACGAGACGTATAATGAAAGAGCGGAAGAATAGTCACAAGAAATACAACGATTTCATTGAGTTATTAATGAACGCACAGAAGGATAGCACTAATAATAACACCAAAGAAGATGACAATGATGTCAATGAAGCCCATCATGTGAATGAAGGTTTGCATTAATATTTAAACTTTTTTATTGTTTGTTCAAAAATGTACAATTTTATTATTAGTTTAATTCATGTTTAATATTTTAAATTGATTTTTAAGGAAAGGAAGAGAAAGAAGTGGAGAAAAAGATCTTAAGTAATGTCGATAAATATATCACTGAAGAGGAAATCCTGGCCCAGTCGTGGGTCTTCTTTGTTGCCGGATATGAGACGACTGCCACTACTCTTACCTTTGCTTCCTATGAATTGGCTCTCAATCAGGACTCACAGCAAAGACTATACGAAGAAATCCTAACTTCTGTTGACTCTAACGGAGAGATTGATTACGACTTGTTGTCTAAACTTCCATATTTGGATGCAGTCATCTCAGAGACATTAAGACTCGACGCACCGGCTGTTGTCCTCATAAGGCAAGCGTCTGAAGACTACAAATTAGGTAATACAGGAATTACCTTATATAAGGGACAGCAGCTGGAAATGCCTATCACTGCCATACATCATAACGAGGAATTCTATGAAAACGCCTATCAATTTATTCCTGAGAGATTCCTACCGGAAAACCGACATAAAATTAAACCCTATACATACCTACCGTTTGGTGCCGGCCCTCGAAACTGCATTGGAATGAGATTTGGTTTAATGGAAGCGAAGTTAGCATTGGCTCAAGTGGTTAGGAGATACCGATTCTTCCAGACTCCCAATACAGACGTTCCCTTACAGCTGAACATTAGTATGGCTATACATACACCTAAAAGAGTGATCATTGGCATTGAAAAGAGGCTGTAATTAATGATCTTATATTTTATAAATTATTGTAATAACTTTAGATGCATTTAGAATTATACCTGTACTTATTTACTTTTGTAGAAATCATAGTATATTTTATATTTACTTATATAAATTTATTGATATTAAATACTGTATTTAGATATAATAAAATCTAAATAAATTATATTTACGAATTATTAAAAATATTTTTTAATTAAAATGTTTTATTATTGAATATTGTCTCTATATTAGTATTTAATAATAAATAATTCAGTGAAATATTTCATTGTATTAATATAAACATTTATTAAGCTATAAGTTATAAGTAAAAAGTTATAAATTATAAAATACACTAAATACTGTAAATCTATGTACAATAATTATGCTAGTATCAAAAATTCAATTTTAAAAATAATTATTACAAAAACTCATTTACTACAGTATGTTAATATTTTAAATATTAGAGTAACTTTTTAAAAATATCCTTGTTTTAATTAAATTAATACTTTAATTGTAGTAATTTTAAAAATTATAACTTAATACTTAAATATATTAATTTAAAATCAATCCTTTAGTACAAAATTATTATCAAGGTTACAAAAGATTGTTGCAAAAATATATCATAACATAACAAAGTTGATTGTTTTGATAATTAAAAATCATTTGAATTATTGGAGTTGCGCCGACTAAACCAAAGTTTATGTAAAATTTTAGTACATTGTGAACTCGTTGTTGATATAATAAGTTTGCAGCAGTTATATCAATAGTTATTATTTTAGGACATTTGTATTAAATGTATGGCTATATAAGTGCTGAATTCATTAAAATGCACTTCATATACAGGTTTAGTTAAGACTCTCTAATAACATTTACTGTACAGTAGATGCAGTAAATCAAGTATTTTATACTTATAAAAGTTTAGTTATATTATATATAAGTGCTGAATTCATTAAAATGCACTTCACATACAGGTTTAGTCAAGACTCTCTAATAACATTTACTGTACAGTAGATGCAGTAAATCAAGTATTTTATACTTATAAAAGTTTAGTTATATTAACTTTGTTCATCAATTCTTAACGTTTATTAAAATGGATACAATTTTTGGAAATTCGTGGATATTCTATGGTTTTCTATCATCGATTCCTTTATTTTATTGGTAATTATTAGTAATATTTTTATATGTTAATAAGTTTTATAATTGTATTAAATATATTTAAGGTATCTGACAAGAAATTTCAATTTTTGGTCCCAAAATGGAGTGAAAGGACCAAGTCCTATTCCCATGTTCGGCAATATTTTATCCTATTTCATAACACCCAGGCCACATCTAGCTATGCAATGGCAGAAATTATATGGCAAAATATACGGGTTTGTAGTCTATTTGAAGTTTGTTAAATGTTGTTGCAAACTATTTTTAAAATATGTGTAAAATTTTCTATAATATTTAGCATATATAACGGCAATAGACCGGTGCTAATAGTGGCCGAACCCGAACTCATTAAACAAATTTGTGTCAAAGACTTCCATATATTTACGGACAGAAACACAAACCGACGAATGCATCCAATTCTGAGCAGACATTTGGTCGCAGAAAGCGGTGACGACTGGAAGAGAATCCGATCGATAGTCACCCCAACGTTCAGCTCATCAAAAATGAAGAAAATGTATCCAATGATCAGACAGTGTTTGGATGACTTCATCGTTGAATTAGACGTTTACGCCAAAGATAAGGGCGACGTAAACGTGAAGATAATGTATGGCAACTATACTATGGAT